CAATTTCATTGCCTATTATTGGTCTATTTAGGGTTTATATCTTCTTGCTTCAATCTGGTAAGTCACAGTGTCTATGAATTTATTCATTTCTTCTAGATTCTTCAATTTATTAGAATGTAAGTTCTCAAGTTTCTAATCCTCTGGATTTCACTGGTGTCTGTTGTAATTTTACCTATTTTATTTCTAATTATATTGATATTGGATCGTCTCTTTCTTTTGGTAAGTTTGGCTAAGGGTTTACCAATTGTATTTATCCTCTCAAAGAACCAACTCTGATTCACTGATCCTTCATATTGTTCTTTTAGTTTCAATTTCATTGATTTCTGCTCTGATCTTTATAATTTCTTTCCTTTCATTACTTTTGGGTTTGGATAGCATTTGTTTTTCTAGGACCTTGAGAAGAATCATTAAGTTATCTACTTGGGATTGCTCTGTTTTTTTAAATGTAGGCATTCACAGCTATAAACTTCCCTCTTAGAAGGATTGCTTTCATTGTGCCCCACAGATTCTGATACGTTGTATTGCTGCTGTCATTTGATTCTAGGAATTTTAAAATTTCTTCCCTGATTTCTTCTTCCTTCTTCCTTGAATGATCAATGAAATGATAATTTCAGTCAATTTCCATGTGTTTGTGTAGTTTTTGTGATTCTTTTGTTTTCAATTTCTAGTTTCATTCCATTATTATCTGATAGGATACAAGTAGAAGGCTTTTGATGGATCTCTCACATTCATGTTTCTTACTGTTTCTTATTTTAACAGTATGTTCCAGAATATGAAAATTAGGAAGATATCACAAGAAAACTAATACTTAGTTGATTCAATGAAATAAGATCAAGTCTGACTATTTTTCCCATACCAAAAGTTCATATTTCACTCAATTAGTCTTTATTAAAACATGAAAATGCCAAAAGTGTTAAGAACATATGGTTATGGCTTATGTTTAAACGTCTCCCCAAAGCCTCATGCTTTTCCAGAGGTTGAATCTATAGTGTGTGGTGGGGCTAGGCCTGAAGGCACTACGATCAAAGGTCTGAGTGCTACCCGCCCTATGCAGTCTGAATAAGATAAAAGGGGCAGGGAGACCCTGTTAACTCCTCTTGTTGCTTTTGCTCTCTTACATTGCAACCATGAACTGTTGCTGCTCTACCACCCTGCCCTGGAGTCAGACAATTACGGGCTGAAGGCTCTACAAACTGTGAGCCAAATAAACCCCTTCCCCCTCTAACTTTGGATGTCGGATATTTTGTCTCAGCAATGAGAAAAGTAACACACATACTATTCAAAGTGAAAAGCACAAATATTTACAAGTTTTTGTCTCATGACAGATTCATTATTTACTAACGAACATTTACTGTATGTTGAGCTGAATTTAACCTCTACTTTATGAAAACAAGCTATAGTATTCTTTTTTTGGTATTATTCTTTATCATTATTTTTCCTTATTAAAAGTCTAACTATTGAGTCTAAATATTGAATTAAATCTAACAGTCTCTTCTTTAGAAAGTGAGTAGGGGAGATTAGCCTTTTTAATACAGTTCAACTCTATCTCAGAAATACTCTTATACAGACTTCTGCTCTCACTTCAGCTACAGTACATTTGATTTGCTTCCTGTTTCTCACAGCTACTGCGATCAGTCACATCAATGGACAAAGAAACTGTACCCAACATCTCATTTTGGAAAATACTAGTTTGTAAGCTCTTAAGGAAATTAGCATACAAAATAAAGATCACTATTACTTACAGATAAGTGATTGATACTGATAGAAAATTAAGCTTGGTATTCTTTTTTCAAAAAAAAGCAAAGTCAAGAAGCTATCCGAAAGAGAAATAGCCTATAACTTTTTTGATTGCTTAGGGAAAGAAGTGAGGATTGTCTATCACAGGAAAACCAAACCAGCAGCCTGTTTTATGACAGGCCTTTAGGCTAATTCCATGTAAGCAATAGTCACTTAACTATCAGTTCCTTGAAAAAAGCAGCTGTGGATATCACTCAAGTTCAAGGTGCTTTTATTTGACATCTACTAAATTCTGAGACCTTCCTTAGATAGTGAGATTACAGAGATGAGTAAAACATAGTCCTTTCCATTACTAATTAAAAGCTTAGTAGAAAGGATAACCTTTTTAAAAATTATAATCAATGTGGCATAATATGATTAATGGTGTAAGGAAAATGTAAACAAAAGACTATAAGGGAGAGGGATGTAGCTCAGCGGTGCCCCATTTGCCTTGCCTGGCAAGCACAAGGTCCTAAATTCAATCCCCAGTATCTGGGGTAAAAAAAAGACTATAGGCAAACAGAAGACATGACTACCTTCTTTCCTACTGCCTAGAAAAATGACTCTTCAGATTTCTTGACTTGATTTGAACATTTAATAAACCTCGATTGGTAGATTTATGGTTCTAAAATCCCATAGTTTAGAAGATGCTAAAGACAGAATATACTTGCTAGCAACCCAAATATTCAACATGGCATGAATTGAAGAAAGGGTTAAATTTTGAAAATGCTTTACAAACTATGATTTCTTAGGGTTCTCAGGTCTATAACAGGAATAGGGTGGCAAATGTACTCCAGGCCAGTAGGAACCCTAAACAATATCTTTATTTCCTCAAATATTTATCCGTTTCCCCTATCTCATCCCCCCAAAAAACATGTAATCTAAGTAAAATGGTGTGCTTGCTATGCAAATAAGATTCAAGACAGGTCCCCTAGCATTAACTGGCTGGACAACAACTAGAAACTATGAATGATTCAAAGTTTTGATTTATAAAAGTGCTAGTAACTTCCCTTTTACAATACCACCTGGAAGTGCACATCAAAACTTTTTTATGTGCGATATTGTCAACAAATTCTTTTCTGTAAGAGCAAAGCATAAATTTTTGGTACAATTCCCTCTTCAATCTATGAAAAGATATTTTCCTTCAATTAATTTATGTGAAGTCAATTTTCACCTTGGGATATTTATTTCATATTAATTAATAAGCAAAGCAAAACAGACAACCTACATTGTGGGAAAAATTTTTTAGCAGCTGTAACTCAAAGGGCTACTATCTCGAATCTATAAAGAACTGAAAAAAATGAGATCCCCCAAATTCAAAGACCCAATTCAAAAATGGGCATCTGAAATGAACAGACATTTCTCAGACAAAG